GCACCTTCGGTTGGCCACCGGAACTCAAGCGCCGACCATGGTGATTGTGAGGGCCGCCATAACAGCCGATGGTCGCTCTCCGCTCGTATTAATCGATCGTGGCATCAGAATAAATGCCGAATATTATCGCGAAAATATTCTGGAGGGTGCATTAAAGCCTTAGACACGCAAACTTTTTGGCCGCAGACCTTGGACTTTCCAACAGGACTCAGCACCATCGCACTCAGCACGCGCCACCCAAGAAGGGTTACAAAATGAGGTTATTTGCTTCATTCCCAGCGCACAATGGCCAACAAAATCTCCGGATACCAATCCGTTGGACTGTTTTGTCTGGAGTATTTTGGAAAGCAAGGTTGGCACTAAAAAATACGAAAGTCTCGATCACCGCAAGCAAGCGTTTCGCCGGGAATGGGCCAAAATACCGCAGAGCAACATTAGGGCAGCGTGTGACGGTTTAAATGGCCGTTTGAAGGCCATAATTCGTGCCAAAGGTGAAAAATTCGAACAAATCTAAACTTATTCTAAAATTTGATGCTATTCCCGACATTGCATTTATTCAATAAATTTAAAAAAAAATGTAAAAATTATGACGTTTGACTGAGTCGCAGTTTTTTAATCCCACCCTGTATATTTTCAGCCGATTTATGATTAATTGTGCACCAAATGGCCATTATTAGTCCAAATGACCTGAATTTTGGCACATCCGACGGGATTCAGTCTAGAAGCAAGTACATACAATTTTGTGAAAATCGGTTCAGATATAGCTATAGCTCCCATATATATGTTTCATCCGATTTTGTCTTTATGTCCCTCACATTAGTAATATACATTCAACAACGATGATATTTGGTACCAGATATCAGATACAGCTTAGAAATACCTCTACCAAGTTGTATTAAGATCGGTTCAGATTTGGATATAGCTTCCATATATATCCTTAATACGATTTCAGGTTTATTATGCAAACAATGGCTAATATCAGCCCAAATGCAGTGAATGTTGGGACGAACGTTTCCATTTTGTGGAACTCGGCTCCGATAGATATATTTTTAATATAATCCTTCTCGAAGTGATATTTAGTGAAAATCCTTTCAGAATTGGATATGCCTTCCATATATTAGTTCCATCTGAAACCAAACTATAACTGCTCTAAAACCAAATGTTGATAGGTGGTACGATCTACTTCAAATAATTTATTTTGTTACGGAGCTCTACTAAATATGCATAGTGGTGTAGGGTATCAGATAGTCGGTCCCGCCCGACTTTTGACGTTTCCTTACTAGTTCATACTTGATTTTGCGATTTCTGTCCAAATTCGATAAAACTTAAACGCATATCTTCAAAAAATTTTAGCAGATCAAATTTTTCTAGAAAATAAGCATCTTATTGCCTTTTATATTGATTTTGAGGAACTGCCATCTAGATTTGATATATCTTCAATTTTTAAATTCACATGCTTAGCTCATATAGCAGTTCTCACTGAGACAATTTCACTCTCCCTTCAATAATATTACCATTACAGTAATGGATCCCAAATATTAAGTGCAGACAAATGTTACTTTAATTAAACAATAAAATGAAGTATAGATGGTGTTAATTATAACGTCACTTTTTGGACAGGCTTTTAAAAGCTGGTCTTCAAAAAATTCTCTCATGAAAAACTTATAGATCATATCTTTATTTATTTGGTCCTAAACATTGCCGACCTATTGTTTCATTTGAAAAATTATTTAAACAAACCCTTGGACATGACTTACACTTTGGTAAAAAAAAAATCTGCTATACTCTAGACAGATGGCGGAGTTAATGCCCATTTAATTTTTGCCCTGAAAGGCGATAGTATCTGCATTTACGTTTCGTCCCCGCCCACATATCCAACAAAATCTCAATGCCTCTCATGGTAGAAGAATACAGGTAATCGCATCGACACAGCTGCTGGGACAATTAACTGTCAAACCAATTTTGTAATTGCAAATTTTTTAATGAAAAATTATTCTAATTTGTAAAAATTGTTAAAACAAAGTGTAACAACCTGTCGTTAGGAAAACATATACAAATCCACTTATATTTGATGAAACATTTAACAAATTTCTACCTGTATTCTTCTATCATGGTGTCTCTGTAGCACCAGATGTTTCGCTTCTATTCTTCTGGAAATAAAAATATTAATGTTTTAATTATATTCTGAGGTAAAAACAATAAAAATACTTACCTTTCTTGTTTTGTTGTCTGTTGTGTTTTGAATTTTGATTTTCACAAATCTAAGCAATTTGTCAACAGCTGATTGATTTTCGGCAGCGTTGCCATATGAAATTTGTTTAATGTCAAATTTTGATAAATTCGGTTTCATTTCGAAATAATTTGCATTAAGTGACTGTCGTCTGTCTAGGGTATTATTCCTTTTTTAAGAAATAATTTTTTAATGTTACATACCTCCCCCATAATCCACAACATGTAGGCCCTTCAACTCCCCTGCCGCCGTTCAAATGGCCAAGGAACATGTAGAACGCGATTATGCCGTTGTTGGCTCTTGGGAAGACACCAACATAACCCTGAGTGTTTTCGAAAAATATATACCGCGATTCTTTAATGGCGCAAAAACTGTTTTTGAAAGTAAGTAGAATATTTTTCAGCCGAAATATTTTTTTATATCAAATTATTAATAAAAATATGTGATTTTTTTTTTTTTTTTTTTTGTAGTTCACAATGACAAAATTACAAATCGCAACAAGAACAAACGTAAACCCAAGGTTGATCCCGACGTCAAGGCAATGATACGTAAAAATTTCACGCATGAATATGAATTTTATTATTTCTGTAAACAGCGTTTGTACAAACAGTATTTGGCCGCTAATTTGAAGGAATTGCAGGCTCATGGTTTATTGGATTAAGAAATATATAATTTTAGTTTTATGTAAAAAAATAAATAAATAAATCTCAACAAAAACTTGAATAAAAACGTAATAATTTAACTGCAAAAAAATTGTGTTCTTATCTAAACGAAAGTTGAATCCATAAAGTAGACTATATTTAAAAAAAAAGAGAAAAATCGACTTACGTATCCCTATGACTCACTGGGATTAGGGGATCTAGTGGTTTAATCTTATATGCATGGTAGAAAAATACAGACTGTCGCATCAATACAGCTGCTGGGACAATGAACTGTCAAACCGATTTCGGAATTGAAAATTTTGAATGAAAAATGTTTGAAATTTGTAAAAATTGTTTATTATAACAACCTCCGATTTGCGTCGTATAAGAAAACATATAAAACTCTACTTATTATTGACAAAACATTTTAAAAATGTTGACACATCAATGTAAATATTTCTCTTTACCAGAAATCTGATATGAATATGTAATTTTATCGGAATTTATGATTTCGTATAAAATTGGATATAAATGTTCGAATTCCTTTAAATTTTGCACATGCCAATATTTTTATCTGAATAAGATTAAGTGGAATAATGCCACATTTGCAAATATCTCACCTAAAATAAAGGAAGTAGACGATGTAGTCCAAATGTGGCACATTGACCGTATAAAGGGTTAATAGTTAGAATAATCATAACTTAAGGCTGGGGTATACATCTGTCAGCAACAGCGGCTGATACTCTTAGGGTGCAAGTACATAAAAAGCTTGGAGTCATGGCTAGGTATATTAATGTCAAATTATAATTGAAAACGACGGCAGGATTTTAGTACAGCTCTGTAATCCCTTTCTTCAAGCTTCTTATGTACTTAGCCCTTTAAACTTGTTTCCTTGGCATTTACACTGTTTAAAAGGCGTTTAAATGTCAAACGCCATATTTTTACATTTTTGTTTTTTAATTTTATTGAATGAATGCAAAAAATGTCGGAAATAGCATCTAACTTTAGAATAAGTTTAGATTTGTTCGAAATGCTCACCTTTGGCTCGAATTATGGCCTTCAAACGGCTAAACCGCAATTGCCGCTGCCCGAATATTGCTCTGCGGTATTTTTTTAATGCCATCCTTGCTTTCCAAAATATTTCAAATACAATAGTCCAACGGATTGGTATCCGGAAATTTTGGTGGTCATTGTGCCTTGGAAATGAAGCGAGGAACCTCATTTTGTAACAAATTCTTGGTTGGCGCTTACTGAGTGCGATGGTGCTGAGTCCTGTTGGAATGTCCGAGGTCTGCGGCCAAAATGTTTGCGTGCTCAAGGCTTTAATACACCCTCATACATATTTTCGCGATAATATTCGGAATTTATTCTCATGCCACGGTTGATTAATACAAGCGGAGAGCGACCATCGGCAGTTATGGCGGCCCACACCAACACCATGGCCGGCGCTTAAGTTCTGGTGGCCAACCGAAGGTGCACATTTTCAGCTGACCTATAGGGCAAGTAAAGGCGATCATTTTGATTGTTTACACACTGCGGGACAATGAATGTTTTCTCATCGGAGACGGAAAAAACACATTCGGCAGTTCACCACTCTCGGCTAAGCTAAGCAACTCTTTAGCTCCTTTGAGTCTATTTTCTTTTTGTTGCAGTGTAAGTTTTTGCACTTTTTGGAATTTCAATGGCTTTACCCCGAGCTCATTTTTCAATATTTGCCGAATGGAATATTGCGATACGTTCAGCTCACGAGCCATTTTTCGGCCACTGCGACACGGGTTTCGATCAAGTAGCTTCTTTACTTTTCGAACCATTTCTGCTGATGTTGCTGTTTTCTTCCCGCCACTTTCTTGACATATGTCGGGCTACGCTACCAGCAACACGATAACGAGCGATGGTACGAGATACAAAAGATTTATCCACATTTCAATGCTGGAGTGCTCTAACGATAGCCACTTGTGGTTTTCCAGCCAAATATGAAGAAATCACACTATCACACTTGAATTCCATCACGAATACTCTTTTTTTCTGGAAAATTCTCACCAAAATGCTTTTGTTCGGCTGTAAACAATATAATGAGTTGTCACTGGAATAATTTTAACAGCTGTCGTACGAGTGGCTTAGAGATGAGAGTAGTCTGAAGTTGGTTGCAGTTTTTCCATCTCACCCTGTATAGGTATTAATAAAAATACTCGAAGTCAGATTCGAACTTTTTTTAAGAATCCAGTAACATTTTTTAGACTCCTACTCCAAAGCTCTGCTAAAAACTTTAAGCACGATTGCCAGATGTCTGGATGTCTTATGCATTTTATGATTTTGAGAGTTGCCACCTAATTTTGACATTTTTGCTAGTTTTTCATTTCAACACTTGCTGGCCAACACTTTTCTCTCAGAGCAAACTAATTATAATTTTCTTTTTTACCAGTGTTTTTTACGAGAACAAAACCTCCCATTTTATTTCAAACATAAATGTCTACAGGAATTTTAAATTTTCATACATCCTTTTGGGTTACCAAGAAACCATTGCATGTTCTCTTAAACTTGGATTTATTAATTCCAATCTTATTTTGTATTTTGCTCCGATTTCAAAATCATACTAACCAAATTTTCATATGGGTAAGAGACATTCATAAAAATTCTCTCAGCTTTGTGGAGCATTCTAAATTATCTTCTTATGCCTTCACATGCACTCTCTCAGCTGTACACGCTAAAACCAAGCCGTCTAAACAATACCAAATATGCCGATTTGGAGGTATTGTTCTTTAATCGAGCCGCCAAAGTTGGCAGTGAAGCTCTGATGGAACTGCTGCAGCACATGGCCGATGATAATGAAATGACGGTTCTAACTCAAGGTCCTTTAGACTTATCCTCACGCACCCGCACACCTGAACAGCAACAGATACAAGCCAATTGGATAGCTGATCTGGAACCGGGTACTGTCTACATAGAACATTGTAATTGGTTGAATTTTACCCGTTTACATGCACCCAAACCTATTATGATCAATATGGTGCGTGATCCCGTGGAACGTTTAATTTCATGGTACTTCTATGTCCGCTCGGCATACAAGAATGCCATTTACTATAGCAAGCATCCAAATGCTCCAATACAGTCGGAGGCATGGTTTAAAAAAGATTTCAACAAATGCGTGCGCAGTGGTGATCCAGAGTGTCAATATGTACCGAATAGTATAATAGATCCGGTTGGTAATCACAAACGTCAATCGTTATTCTTTTGTGGTCATGACGAGGTGTGCCTGTAAGTTTTGTGGAATTAAAAAAAAAAAAAAACTAACAATTCATGACAATTCGAAATATATGTTTTCCGCTTATAGGCCCTTCGATTCACCCAAGGCTATACAAATTGCCAAACGTAATGTAGAACTCGATTATGCTGTTGTGGGCTCATGGGAAGATACCAATATTACGTTGACCGTATTCGAACATTATATACCCAGATTCTTTAAGGGTGCCAAGGCTACTTTTGAGAGTAAGTTTTTCTAAATACTTTGGTTAAACATTAAGTCTCAACACCCATTTCTTTGCTCTTGTAGGACACAACAAAGACGTGACCAATCGCAATCGTAATAATCGTAAACCCAAAATCGACAAGGATGTTAAGGATCTCATCCGTCAAAATCTAACAAATGAATATGATTTTTATCATTTTTGTAAACAGCGGCTATACAAACAATATTTGGCACTGAAACTTGACAGTGGATTGAATTGAATTTTAAAAATATTTTTATTAATTAAAATATACATGGGAACTATAAAATAAAAATGGAAATATAAAATAAAAATTTGAAAAAAAAAAACAAATATTTGTTTAGAGTGGGGGGGGGGGCTACAAGAAACACTATCTCTAAACCCGAGAACTAAACCCAGATTATTAAAAACAAGATATAGTTTCTGAGCAACTGATCCTCAAGAACTGAGGAATTTTCTGGAACTAATGAGTTTTGCAATGACAACAAACTTTGAATGCACTCCACCATTTGGAACGAATTTGGCAATTTTCAAAAAATTAAAAATTCTGTTAAAATCTTAAAAATACCAAATGTAGCTGTCATATTAGGGTCTAAACGACGACGTGGACCTGTATAGGCAACTTTTGTCATAAGCCATTACAATATTAATATGCGAAACTTGAAAAAAAATCGGTTAATAATGTAGCTATAATAATCAAAATAGGGAGGTACTATTATATGGGGGCTATACCAAAATGTGGACCTACACATACAATTTTCTGCCTTAGGCTGCAGTCTCCATTACGAAATTCAAATACCAAATTTGAAACAATTCCGTTGAATAATGTCGCTAAAATCATCAAAATACCGAATTTCGGGAAATACCTTTATATGAGGGCTATACAAAGACTTGGGCCTGCACATACAATTTTCTGCCTTAGGCTGCAGTATCCATTACGAACTTCAAATACCAAATTTGAAACAATTCCGATGAAAAATGTCGCCAAAAACATCAAAATAGCAAATATAGGGAGGAACCGTTATATGGGGGCTATACGAAGACGTGGACCGGCACAGACAATTTTCTGTCAAAGACTGTAGCACATATTAGGAACTTGAAATACCAAAATTTGAAACAATTCCAGTGAATAATGTCGCTAAAATCATCAAAATGCCGAATATGGGGAGATACCGTTACATAGGGGCTATACGAAGACGTGGGCTTGCGTAGACAATTCTCCGTCACAGGCTGTAGCTCATATTAGGAACTTCAAATACGAAATTTCAAACAATTTCGGTGAATATTGTACTTAAAATCGTCAAAATACCGAATATAGGGAGGTATTGATATATGGGTCCTATACGAAGACCTGTTCCTGCATAGACAATTTTCTGTCATATGCTGTAGTTCCCATTACGAACTCTAAATGCGAAATTTAAAACAACTCCGGTGAATAACTTCGCTAAAATCATCCAAATACGGAATATCGATGGGTAGCGTTGTATGGGGGCTGTACGATATCGTGGACCTATAAATACAATTCTCTTCCAGGGGGTAAAGTGCTCCAAAGGAACTCCTTGTGTGGATTTCAGACAATTCCATTGAAAAATGTGGCTAAAATTATGGAGGTACGGTTGTATCGGGTCTATACGATATCATGGACCTATATGGACAATTCCAGGGAGTAAAGTATTCAGAAGGAACTCTTTATGTAAAATTTCAGACAATTCCATTGAGAAATGTGGCTAAAATCATCAAAATACCGAATATCGGGAGGTACCGTTACATGGGGCTATTCTATATCGTGGACCGATATAATCCATTTTCGAACTTGATCTGCCTGCAGACAAACGACAGATCGGTTCAAAATTTTAGCACGGACAGCACAGCACAACAGACGCACGGACGGACAGGACTAGATGGTCTAAAAATTCTACGCTGATCAAGAATATACAGGGTGAGATGAAAAAACTGCAATCAACTTCAGACTGCAGTCATTCCTAAGCCACTCGTCCGACAGCTGTTAAAATTATTCCAGTGACAATTCATTACATTGTTTACAAGCATACAAAAGCATTTTGGTGAAAATTGTCCAGAAAAAAAGTTATTCGTGACGGAATTCAAGGGTGATAGTGTGATTTCTAAATATTTGGCTGGAAAACCACAAGTGGCTATCGTTAGAGCACTCCAGTATTTAAAAAGTGAATAAACCTTTTGTGCCTCGTAACATCGCTCGTTACCGTGATACTGGTAGCGGAGCCCAGCGACGTCAAGTAAGTGGAAGGAAGAAAACAGCAAAATCAGCAGAAATGGCTAGAAAAGTAAAGAAGCGACTTGATGGAAACCCGCGTCGCAGTGGCCGAAAAATGGCTCGTGAGCTGAACATATCGCAATATCCGGCAAGTATTGAAAAATGAGCTCGGGGTAAAGCCATTGAAATTCCAAAAAGTACAAGAACTTACACCGCAACATAAAGAAAATAGGCTCAAAAGAGCTAAAGAGTTGCTTCGCTTGGTCGAAAGTGGTGAACTCCCAGCCGGCCATGGTGATGGTGTGGGCCGCCATAACAGCCGATGGTCGCTCTCCGTTCGTATTAATCGACCGTGGCATCAGAATAAATGCCGAATATTATCTCGAAAATATTCAAATTTGGTATTTCAAGGTTTTAATGGATACTACAGCTTATGACAGAAAATTGCCTGTGCAGGTTCATGTCTTCGTATGGGGGCTATTACGGTACCTCCCGATATTCGGTATTTTGATGATTTTAGCGACGTTATTCACCGGAATTGTTTCAAATTTGGTATTTGAAGTTCGTAATAAATACTACAGCCTAAGACAGAAATTTGTATGTACAGGTCCACGTCTTCGTATATACCCCATAATTTAGGTTAGGTTAGGTTAGGTTAAAGGATGTGTGGCTGTGTAAAAACAACAACCACTCCACTCGGAGACCTACTGGCCCATTGTGATCATCCTAGTCTAGAAAAAAGTGGAAGTGAGGTAAGAAAGATAGTTAGTGTAGAAAATAAGATTTAGAAGAATTAGAAGAGCTAGTGGGTTTGCGTCCACGGTGTAATCAGCGTGTCGTCCTTAGCCATTTTAGTCTTCTGGCTAATTGAAGAATGACTGCTGGTTCTGTTTCGGAGAGGCATGACAGGTCAGGCAGTAAGTACTTACCCAGAAGCCTATGTCTTACTCCGATAAGGGTAGGACAATAACAGACTAAGTGTTCCACCGTTTCTGTTTCTTCCTCGTCCTGACATAGCCTGCAGTATTCAGTGTCGTCACCCCCCCATTTTGAAGTCATGGCCTTTATGTTGCAATGACCTGTAATTAGGCCCACCACAAGCTTCAAGTCCAACTTCGTCATGGACAAGAGTGACCGTGATCTCCGTTCGGAGTTCACCGGCCTAATCTTTTTGGAGATGATGCATCCCCTTCCAGATAGCCAGTTCTGTTGAAATCTTCCAAGATAGTGTTTATGCAGAACTTGAAAGAAGTGGCATAAAGGTGGCTTCACTGAGCTCTCGATCTCTAGATCTACTGACTCAGATCCGCGTCTGGCCAATTCATCGGCAGATTCATTGCCAGATATGTTGCAGTGTCCAGGGACCCAACAGAGCTTGACAACTGACTTAAACTTTTCCAGGGCATTCTTGCACTCCAGAACAGCCATAGACTTGATTGTGAAAGAATTTAGAGCTTTTAGGGCCGCTTGATTATCGACATATATAGTCACCGGTCCATCCAGTTCGTTAATTCTATTATTCAGCAGTTCTATGGCCATTCTGACAGCAAATATTTCTGCCTGAAAAACGCTGCAATCGCTGTTTAGCCTGAAGGATCTTCGGATACTTAGGCTTTCACAGTAGACTCCAGCACCCGTTCCACCTTCCATCTTTGAACCATCAGTATAGACAGCTATACCGTCGAAAGGTGGCGTGCCACGGGACCAGATATCCCTGTTTGGTATGCGGATGTCAAGTAGATCAAAGCTGTGCCTAGGGAGTATATAGTCACTAGCTATAGCCTGATTACTTACGTTTTCCACATACTTAAGAATGACAGAGTGCCCGAAGGGTTGACTCCGCCATTGTCCCAATTCGTTGAGTCGCAGGGCACACCTAGCAGCTAGTTCCTCTACAAATAAGCCTAGAGGCTTTAAGTTGAGTAGGGTGTCTAGAGCGGATTGTGGCGTGCTCCTGACCGACGATACACGTTCTAACCTTTTCCCCATTGGAGGTGGCATTGGTGATGTACCGCTCACTCCCTAGCCCAGTTACCTTATTCTTAAAAATGTAAGGTTCCTGGACCAGGGCTATGTCAACTTCAAGCTTGGAGAGGGATAGGAGAAGCTCAGCCCCAGCTGCCTTGCAGTGATGCAGGTTAATCTGCACAATGCTAAGCGGAACCGAATCCATCCTGTGCCGAAGTGCAATTTCCCTCCTCGAGCCTGAAGGTATTCCTGGCCAGCAGTATCAACAGAAACCTTTATGACCAGGCCCCCTCCCTCCGTACTTGAGCCAACCAAGCGCCAGCCGTCCGTGCAGAGATTGGGATTCTGCTTCCCCAATATTATCAGCACGCGTGCCGGGTCCACAGATGGCGGCGGCACCCATGCTGTCAAAATCCTCCTGCAGGGGATATCCTTCAGGGATACAGCAGCAAGTGCACTTCTATCCCAAAGTTCCTGAAGGCCAGCTACTGCGGTCACGAGGAAGTTCTTTGACTCCTCATTTTCGCAGCAGATGACCTTCACTCCCTTGTAGACGGTAGCACTGCCAAACTGTAACCTAGAAGGATCCTCCCCCAGGAAAACCTGTTCCCTCAGACGGTCCTCAATGAGAAGCCACCGACTTTCGCTGATTTTGCCTTCCGGCTCAGCTCGGTCGATGACCGCTACACGGAGATTGTCCGGGTACAGGGTTTGGGAGTGTTTCCTCTTCCTTGATGTCTGGCTTGAAGGTTGTGGGTTGGTGGTAGCAGGCTTCGCCTTAGCAGACCTAGGGTCCACTGAGGCTGCTTGCACCGGCCTTGCCACTACCTCCCTACCAGCTACAGCTACTGGCGTAGAAGCCGCAGTTGGCGGAGGAGGAAGTTTGCCCGTTAACGGTTTCTTTGCCTCGGGATGTGGTTCCTCCGTTGACCGTCCTCTCTTCATCGTTACCCGAGAAGAGGATTTGGCCTCCTTTGGTTCCACCGGGGCAGGATTTCCGTTAGGGGCGTCCTTCCTTTTGTTCCTCCGTTTTCCTGAGTTAGAAGTGGTGGGGGCTACACTAGATTCCGTTGGTGGTGCAACAGCCGAAGCTGTCTTTCCACCGCCGGGAGAGGTGTTGCCCTTCACCCCAGCCCCACTAGTTGGCTTATCCTCAGACGGACTTACCTTGTTAGCGTACCCCATAATTTAAGATTTTAACAGAATTTTTAAGGGATTTTATTGTTTTTGAGAATTGCCAAATTCGTTCCAAATGGTGGAGGGTATTGAAAGTTCGGCCCGGCCGAACTTACAGCTTCCTTACTTGTTTTTATCTCACCCGTACATGTGTCTTACTTGTATGGTGAAAAACGTCGACAGAGTACACGACTTTTAGGTAACACTGTAAAGAAAAAATCTGTTGTCACTATTGTTTTCAATGTTTTTTTATGTTTTATTATTTTTAATAATATTAATTCTTAAAAAATTGGAAAATGACCAACTAAACGTTGAGTTGTATCTTTATCGTATGTTTTTACAAAAAAAAAATATATAAAAACTCCTGAAGAAGTTGGGAAAAAATCAACGAAACGTTTAGCTGAGAAATTAAACAAATAAATAAAAACACTATTTTGACCGGATTAAGTCATCGTAGGAGCGTAGTCCAAAATCGGACTAAGTCAACCTTGAACTCCTTTGTTCCTCTACGAAGAAGCCAGCCGATGACTTAAGCCAGGCAAAAAAGCGTTTTATGTATTCTCACTTGTAGTTTTATTTTATTGAAAAAAAAAACTTCTGAACAAATCCGACCCGTGTAAAATAACTTTTTTCAAAAAAAAAAAAAAAAAAAAAAAAAACAAATAATAATAAATAAATAGAAATATAGAAAAACCATAAATATAAATTTAAGGCAGTTTTGTGCTGCTTCGGAACTTGAGTCAAAATTTTGCATTGGAATTTTGGAAATGTTTGGATGACAACAATCGGACAATAATAACAATATGAACAAATGCATATCAAATACCGGTCTAAGTATTACCAATCAATAAACCCCTCTCTCACATTCATATATTCCATCTCACATATTATTTTTTATTATCTTCTTTCCCTGAAAATGCACCTCACATTAGATGCAATCTCTCAACGTGCACGATCTCAACAATACCCGCAAGGCCCAACTGGAGTTGGTCTTCTTCAATCGTGTACCCAAAGTGGGTAGTCAAACATTTATGGAATTGTTGCGACGCTTATCGGAACGTAACAACTTCCAATTCCATCGTGATGCCGTTCAAAAGGTCGAAACAATACGCCTGGCAGAGGAACAACAACATGAATTGGCCGAGGTAATAAGTGATCTCCCCGAGCCTTCGGTATTCATTAAACATGTGTGCTATACGAATTTTACCAAATTCAATTTGCCCACACCAATCTATATAAATGTCGTCAGAGATCCTGTGGAACGTGTTATAAGTTGGTTCTACTATGTTCGAGCTCCATGGTATTTTGTGGAACGTAAAGCGGCCTTCCCCGATTTACCTTTGCCCCATCCGGCCTGGTTGAAAAAGGATTTTGAAAGCTGCGTACTGTCCGGCGATCAGGAATGTACCTATACCCAGGGTGTAACTGTGGAGGGTATCGGTGATCATCGTCGCCAAAGTTTGTTCTTCTGTGGCCATGCCTACGAATGCACGTAAGTTTTGGAAAGAGGTAGAGTAGTAAAAAATCGACTACATTTGGCGATATATTTTTTGGATATTTCAGGCCCTTTAATTCTGTGGGAGCTTTGGAGCGAGCTAAATATGCTGTGGAAAGCCAATATTCGGTTGTGGGTGTTCTGGAAGATCTCAACACAACGTTGTCGGTATTTGAAAAATATATACCACGATTTTTCGAAGGTGTTCGGGAAATATATGACAGTGAGTATGATTTTTTCCACTTGAGACTACATATAACTAAAACAAGTAAAAACGGCGTTACGCACCGAACAATTATACGTTTTACAATCAATACCACGGTGGCCGGTTGTAAGTACCGGATTGTCTCGAAAGAACAAATCTTCGACCAGACCGTCAACCCAGCAAATACATGTTCATGTTCGTCCATTTGTCTGATATGGGAGCAAAATTACCCGGAATGTTTGCTCCGTATTCTCTTGGTCCGACCCGATATCGAGACCAACCCCAGAGCATGGTTCTGCTCCGTTTTGTCATAATCCTATCCACCACAGATCTGTCTCGGTGAGATGCAACGGATTCATGGAGTAGGTGCATTTCCGCAATTGTTCCGCTTTAAACAGGATACAGAAGTATAGCGATAGGGACTACATTGCTTACTGCTGCGCCATTGGGGTATACAAGTAAGTCTTCAGTAAGGTTGACATGCTCGCAGTTCTGGAACAGACCATAAGTTTTTATTCAAAATTGCTTCTTGCTGGAATTTGCATTGAAATCCTGATTGAGTAAATCCGACTTAAGGAAATAACAAGTAAAAAAACATTAAGTTCGGCCGGGCCAAACTTTTAATACCCTCCACCTTAGGGTAAAATAAACATTAGAAGAAATGTGGCAAAAACCATTAAAATGCCGATTATGGGGAGGTACCGTAATATGGGGGCTACACCAAAACGTGGACCTATAATCACAATGTTTCGCCACACGAACTAGGACCCATTATGGCCCACAAATACCAATTTTTAGACAAATCAGTGAAAAAATGTGGCAAAAACCATCAAAATACCGAATATCGGGAGGTACCTTTATATGGGGGCTATATCAAATAATGGACCCATGCATGCAATGTTTCGCCACCGAAGCTGGAACCAATTATGACCAACAAATACCAAATTTCAGACATATCCGTGAAAAAAATGTGGCAAAAATCATCAAATTACCGAATATCGGGAGGTCCCGTTATATGGGGGCTATACCAAAACGTGGACCTATAATTACAATGTTTCGCCACACGAACTAGGACCCATTATGACCCACAAATACCAATTTTTAGGCAAATCAGTGAAAAAATGTGGCAAAAACCATCAAAATACCGAATATCGGGAGGTACCGTTATATGAGGGCTATACCAAATCATGGACCCATACATGCAATGTTTCGCCACCGGAGCTGGAACCCATTATGACCAACAAATACCAAATTTCAGACAAATCCGTGAAAAAAATGTGGCAAAAATCATCAAATTACCGAATATCGGGAGGTACCGTTATATGGGGGCTATACCAAAACGTGGACCTATAATTACAATGTTTCGCCACACGAACTAGAACCCATTATGACCCACAAATACCAATTTTTAGGCAAATCAGTGAAAAAATGTGGCAAAAACCATCAAAATACCGAATATCGGGAGGTACCGTTATATGAGGGCTATACCAAATCATGGACCCATACATGCAATGTTTCGCCACCGGAGCTGGAACCCATTATGACCAACAAATAGCGATTTTCAGACAAATCCGTGAAAAAATGTTGCAAAAATCATCAAATTACCGAATATCTGGAGGTACCGTTATATGGGGGCTATACCAAATTTTGGACCCATACATGCAATGTTTTGCCACACGCTCAGGGACCTGCTATGACCTACAAATACCAATTTTAAGACAAATCCGTGAAAAAACGTGGCATAAATCATCAAAATACCGAATATCGGGAGGTACCGTTATATGGGGACTATACCAGAACGTGGACCGATATATCTCATTTTCAATACCAACCATCCTAGACACAATGCAAATAGCTCTGCTAAATTTTGGAGCTCTACGTCAAATAATGTGGGCTGTATCGTGATTTCAACAGACAGACAGACAGACAGACGGACATCGTTAAATCGACTTAGAATTTTATGCTGATTATGAATATATATACTTTATGGGGTCTAAGACGAATATTTAAGGATGTTACAAACGGAATGACAAAGTTAATATACCCTCCTTTCCAAGGTGGAGGGTATAAAAACAGAAAATTAGGATTTCACATGGCGAAGGATATAAAAACTCGATCCAGCCGCGCCAACGTCGTTTTTGCTTGTTTCGCAAAATATCTAATATTTGCATGTATTTCATGTCGTTTTCTATTCTCCAATTTCAGCCAGTGCCGAATATCTAACAAAAATCAATAAAAACAATTTCAAGCCACCGGTCAGTGAACGTGTTAAGGAAATTGTTCGCCGCAATTTTACCAATGAAATCGAGTTCTATCAATTCTGTCGACAACGTTTACACAAACAGTACTTGGCGGCGCATTTGCCCGATAAAATATCGCCACGCCTTAGGCCATAGATGTCATGTAATTCACCCTGAACACAAAGAGGCCGAAGGCAATCCGAAGAGTCTTTAATTTCATGAAATAAAACAAACAAAAAAATGAAAAAAGCAAAAATTCTTATAAAAAGAAATAATTGTACATTTTTGTAATTATTATTTAGTGTTTCATTATGTTGTAATCATGTTTTTTTTTTATTAATTTAAATATTTTTTTTTATTTGTTCTCATTTCCATTAAGAAAAAACAACCATAACTTGTTTCTATTAAATATTTTTTTTTATTTATATATGTTTTTCGTATAAAAAATATGTGCGTTTTTATGTTTGTTATAGTTAAAAATATGTTTTTTTTTTCATTAATTGTTATTTTTTAATAGATATTTTAAGTTTTTCTTTTTAATTTGTATTTGACATTATTTGTTTTCTATGGTATTGCTTAAAATATTCGTTGTTTTCCTTCTTCTAATGCCTGCAAATATGTCTTATATTAGGAATATTTTTCTTTCTAGGAAAAAAAGAGAAAATAATGTGATCTTCCATGAAATTAGCTTATAACATTCTTGAACTTTAATTTAAATCTTCTTAAATATAAATTAGTGTTAATAAAACGAACAAATAACGATATTATAAAATAAATAACAAAATTAAAACTATTAAAAATGTGTTTTAATTGGAAACCAATTGGATGGATGCTATATTAGGCAATATTTATAAACAACTATGGTACACAGTCCAAAAACTTCCGCCATATCTCAGCACCAGATACCAAGAGAGACCCCAATGTCATATTTCGAGATTCCAGCTCTATACATTCACTCAAACTTATTAACCTTTAGTACTTTTCAAATAATCCCTGCTTCCCTCAATGAAAAAACTGCAACCAACTTCAGACTGCTGTCATTTCTAGGCCGCTCATCCGACAGCTGTTAAAATTATTCCCGTGACAGCTCATTATATTGTTTACAAGCGTACAAAAGCATTTTGAAGAGAAAGTTATTCGTGATGGAATTCAAGCGTGATGGTGTGATTTCTTTATAGTTGGCTGGAAAACAACAAACGGCTATCGTTAGACCACTCCAGTATTTAAATGTGAATAAATCGTTTGTGCCTCGTACCAACGCTTGTTACCGTGATACTGGTAGCGTAGCCCGACGTCAAGGAAGTAGACGGAAGAAAACAGCAATATCAGCAGAAATGATTCGAAAAGTAAAGAAGCGACTTGATCGAAACCCGCTTCGTTGTGGCCAAAAAATGCCTCGTGAGCTGAAAATATCGCAATATTCCATTCGCAAATATTGGAAAATGAGCTCGGGGTAAAGGCATTGAAATTCCAACAAGTAAAAAAGCTGTAAGTTCGACCGGACCGATCCTTGTATACCCTTCCACCACCATTTGGAACGATTTTGGCAATTTTCAAAAAAAAAAAAAAGTAAAATCCGTTAAAAATTCTGTTAAAGTCTTCAAAATACCGAATGTAACCGTTATATTAGGGTCTACAGGACGACATGGACCTGCATAGGCAACTTTTGTCATAAACCATTGCAATATTCAAATGCGAAAATTCGGTGAATAATGTAGCTAAAATCATCAAAATACCGAATATTGGGGGGTACCGTTATAAGCTATAAAAAGACGTGGACCTGCACAGACATTTTTCTGTCATATGTTGTAGTATTCATTACGAACTTCAAATACCAAATTTGAAATAATTCCGGAGTGTCGGGAGGTACCGTTATATGGGGGCCATACGAAGACGTAAACCTGCAAAGACATTTCTCTGTCATAGGCTGTAGTATCCATTACGAACATCTTTTACCAAACTTGAAACAATTCTGGTAAATAATGTCACTAAAATCATCAAAATACCGAATGTCGGGAGGTACCGTTATATGGGAGATATACGAAGACGTGAACCTGCAAAGACTTTTTTCTGTCATAGGCTGTAGTATCCACTACGAACTTCAAATACCAAATTTGAAACAATTCCGGATAATAATGTCGCTAAAATCATCAAAATACCGAATATCGGAAGGTGCCGTTATATGGGGGATATATAGAAAAGTCACTGCCAAGGGGTAAAGTGCTCATAAAGAACTCCTTGTGTACAGTCATCAAAATATTGAATATCGGGAGGTACCGTAACCGATACCGATATCGTGGACCGATACAGCCCATCTTCGAACATGACCTGGCTGCAGACAAAAAACAGATCTATGCAAAATTTTAGCTTCCTATCAGAATTCGTTTTGACTATAGTGTGATTACAACAGACGGGCGGACGGACAGGGCTATATCGTCTTAGAATTTTGCGCTGATCAAGAATATATATATATATATATACTTTCTTGGGTCTAAAATGATTATTTCGATGAGTTACAAACGGAATGACAAACTTAATATACCATCCATACTATGTATGGATGATCATGTTTCCTTGCCAAAGAGGTCAGCTGAAAATGTCCACCTTCGGTTGGCCACCAGAACTCGAGCGCCGGCCTTGGTGATGGTGTGGGCCGCAATAACAGCCGATGGTCGCTCTCCGCTCGTATTAATCAATTGTGGCATCAGAATAAATGCCGAATATTATCGCGAAAATATTCTGGAGGGTGTATTAAAGCCATGGGCACGCAAATTTTTTGGCCACAGACCTTGGACATTCCAACAGGACTCAACACCATTGCACTCAGTACGCGCAAACCAAAAACGGTTACAAAATCAGGTTCCTCGCTTTATTTCCAGCGCACAATGGCCACCAAAATCTCCGGATATTAATCCGTTAGACTATTGTGTCTGGAGTATTTTGGAAAGCAAGGTTGGCACTAAAAAATACCAAAGTGTCGATCACCCCAAGCAAGCGCATCGCCATTAATGGACCAAAATACCCTCAGCTATATGGCTAGAGAGGGTATATATCATTTGATACGACCAAAACGTGCCTAGTCGAAGTAACGGTTTTAGACCCTTTGCATATCCTTATATTTGCGTCAGTTCTAGGTCAGGTGAATTTCATCAACTACCTCCACCACAAAGGGTCAAAATTTTGAATAATTACAACTCTTATAAAATGTGATGTAAGAGTTCGATTGTCTTCAAATTTCACACATTCCAATATTTTTACTAAACCAAGGTCTGGTATTAAGATGGAATATATCCGAAATAAGCATCCGGTTCTCTTCAAAGTACACACATCACAATATTTGTATTAACTCAAGGTCTGGTGTGAAATTGGGATATATCGGTTCACTCCTTGTGGTACATCCCCCACAAGGGGTCAAAATTTTCAGTGTCCGTGCAGCTCATAAAATCCGAAATTAACATCCAATTCCATTCAGACTTCGTACATCTCCATATTTCTAACAACACAAGATCTGTTGTAAAGATGGAAGGGATCGGACCATTTCTTCTGGAACTCCCCCACATAGGGTTCAAGATTTTGAAAACCATACCCTCAAAGAAAGCGAAATAAGCATCCAACTCCCTTCAAATTAAAAAGATCTGTTGTTAAGATGATATACATTTGACCACCCCTTCTGGTACCTCACCCACAAAGGATTACAATTTCCGGTACAAGTCAGTGATTCTTTACAACTTTCTATATCTAAATATTTCTCTTAACCAGAAATCTGATATGAATATGTAATTTATGATTTTGCATAAAATTACCTTCAAATTTTGCACACATCAATATTTTTATCTGTATTAGATGAAGTGTGAAATTGGAATACTTCGGTCGACTATATCTGGCCGACCTCACGCACATTTCTACATTTTCCAAAAATTTTGTACATATCTCATATAAAGTATAGGAAGTATTTGATATAGTTCAAATCTGGCACGTTGTAATATTTTGTATCGGTCTTAGATCAGATACGAATTGGCCAATTGCTTCGGAACCTCTTCCAAAAAGGGTCAACAGTTTGAGTAATCATAACTCAAGGCTGAGGGTACAAATCTGTCGGCAAAACCGACTGATACTATTTTACTTGTTTTTAATATATTTCTATTTGACGACGTTTCTAATTGTTGGCTTACATGTTTTTAGTGATTTTTCAGTCGGCATAACTGCAAATTTTCGATGCAATCCTACATTACGGCTTTAGTGCGGTTTAAATTGCAAATAGGATGGAACATATATTCATATTGAAGCCATATTATAATTTGAATTGATTGTTATCCTTAAGCATAAATCAAATGTCTCCAAATAAATATAAAATAAACAAATCATGTATTCCTTGATCGGAATTTCACTGTAAGTTATACATTTATGTAACAGAAAAAAAAACATAAAAACATTAACATTTATGTAACACATAAAAGTATTCTAAGAAATAAGAAACATTAAAGTTTATGCATATTTCTAGAAAATAAGTAATATATAAAAAAACTGCAAATTGTTTTTCAACAAAATGTGTGTGTGTGTGTGTTACAAAAATCACATATATAAGTAATATATAATAAAATAATAATAAACAAATAACATAAAATAATAAAAAAAAATATATATATATATATTTGTAGTAGTGCATGTATGCGATATATTCAGGTATTTTTTTGGTTTATTGCTTAGGTTCCAGAATATCGATTTTATAGAAGATTTTGGTTTCACTAAAAAAAAAAAAACACACAAAATATAATATAGTTTTGAATTGAGGGTTGGCATATTGTACAATACTTACTCAGTATAGAAACTAATGGCTTCCTCTATTGTTTCCGTTTCATCAGTGACTGCCGGCTTGTCTCTACATGAATAGAAGGAGAAGTATTAATTTTATATTTGCTTGTTATTTATTTTAAAATGTATACGATGTTCTATTTATAATGGCAAAATTAAATGGAGACAAAGCCAAAACGTGAAAAAATTCATGAAATCGGAATTATCCTCACAGGGGGGCTATTCTAAAAAGGTGACCCGATATGGGTCATAGCCATGATTCTGGAGTAATCTATCAAAAAGCCCAAAAGGTTATCATGGGTATGTTTTACAGAGTCTATAGAAGATGTCAAAGAGGCTTCCACATTTCGTAGAGTTCTTTCTTTCATAATCAGCACTGCAGGATAGAGGAGGTAAGTCTGATTGATAGTATAGGGTGAGATAAAAAACTGCAACAAAGTCAAACGCCATAATTTTTTTAAAAAAAGTTTTGGAAATAGCATCAAATTTTAGAATAAGTTTAGATTTGCTCGAATTGGTCACTTTTAGCACGAATTAAAACCTTCAAAAAGCCAATGAAACCGCCACACAATGCCCGAATGTTGCTCTGTAGTATTTTGGCCGGCATTCCCGGCGAAGCACTTGCTTGAGGTGATCGACACCTTGATATTTTTTGGTGCCAACCTTGCTTTCCAAAATACTCCGGGCACAATAGTCCAAGGAATTGGTGTCCGGAGATTTTAGTGACCACTGTGCGCTGGAAATAAAGCGAGGAACCTCATTTCGTAAACATTCTTGGGTGGTGCGTGCTGGGTGCGATGTTGCTGAGTCCTGTTGGAATGTCCAATGTCTGCGGCCAAATTGTTTGCGTACCCAAAGCTTTAATACACCCTCCAGAATATTTTCGCGATAATATTCGGTATTTATTCGATAATTACGAGCGGAGAACGACCATCGGCTGTTATGGCGACCCACACCATCACCATGGCCAAAAGTAGTGGCTTACGCTGACGATGTGGTTCTGCTGATTGCGGAAAAATTCTTGCAAATTGTTTCGATCTCATTCGGGGAGCTCTTGTGAAACTATCTAGATGGGCACGATGCAACGCACTCGGCGTGAACCCATCTTAAGCTGAGCTCGTACTATTCACAAAGTACCTCGGTACTGTCCTTGACCAGAACATCAACATCAGTAGGAATGTGTACAAAATACTTTGTACATACTTTTGAGTGCGGTTGAGGCGCTGGGAAAAACTAGCAATAAACATTCAATATTCAAAAATTACATATTTCCCAGCCGCCATAAAATACCACATGTGAACAATTCGATGATCTTGTGCGCTGACGCATACGATAATGTGTCAGATAATAAAGGTTATGACCCACATGCACAGATGTCGATGCGCTCAGTAGATGCACAAGACCACTAGAATGAAATGATAAGCAGCAATGTTCTCCATTCAATATTAGAATAGACAAGAACAATTGTGTGGCTGCGACTAGGTTAAGTTAGATTAGTTTCAGTAGTACGTAAGAGAAATATTTTTGAAATAAAACTAGAATTGAATCAACAACCAAACCATTCGGTTGGTTTTCTTTTCTCAGTCAGAATGGTTGAAAAGTAAAGAAGCGACTGGATCGAAACCAACGTCGCAGTGGCCGAAAAATGGCCCATGAGCTGAACATATCGCAATATTCCGTTCGGCAAATATTGAAAAATGAGCTCGGGGTAAAGCTATTGAAGTTCAAAAAATGCAAGAACTTAAACCACAACAGAAAGAAAATAGACACAAAAGAGCAAAAGAGTTGAGTCTCCGTCTACGATAAGAAAACATTCGTTATCCAGCAGTTTGTAAACAAACAAAATGATCGTGTTTACTTGTCAAAGAGGTCTGCTGAAAATGTGCACCTTCAGAACTCAAGCGCCGGCCATGGTAATGGTGTGGACCGCTATAACAGCCGCTGGTCACTCTTCGCTCGTATTAATCGACAGAATAAATGCCGAATATTATCGCCTTGGACACGCAAACATTTTGCCCGCAGACCTCGGACATTCTGACAGGACTCAGCACGCGCCATCTAAGAATGATTACAAAATGAGGTGGCACAATGGTCACCAAAATCTCCGGATACCAATCCGTTGGACTATTGTGGCTGGAGTATTTTGGAAAGTAAGGTTGGCACTAAAAAATAACAAAGTATCGATCACCTCAAGCAAGCGCTTCGCCGGAAATGGGCCAAAATATCGCAGAGCAACATTCGGACAGCGTGTGACGGTTTCATTGGCCGTTGGAAGGTCCAAATTCGTGACGAAGATGACCAATTCGAACAAATCTAAACTAACTCTAAAATTTGATGCTATTTCCGACATTTTTGCTTTCATGCAATGCTAATTATCTATTTTTTAGAACCGTATTTTTTTTTAACCCCACAAACGTTCAAAAAGGGGTATACTATGGCGGTAAACAAAATTTATGACAATTTGCGCTAATACCTTTTCTGGGTCCAGAGATATTCTCTTCTGGGTATGTTCATCCGGCTACGCGAACTAAAGTTTTCTAAATTTAACAGTTGTTGTAATTAGCCGGCCTTCGGCCCCATCATGTGGCCATTTGTTGTATCTATATTGCCTATATCGGGTAAGTGGATCCGGGTCTTGAACCTGGACTTTCGAGACAAATATCTGAGGAATCATAGTAAAAGTTTGCCTGAATAAGGGAAAATTTTTCGAAAAAAAATCGAAGAGTTTTTACTAAACTAGAGTTGTTTTTGAGGTTTTAAGCGATAGGATCTTAGTAGCCTAGTGTCGGAAATGATTTCAATATTCCCAAATTGTTTTGGTGTTGTTATTTTATGGTCAAATGTCAAATTCAAAATGGTTAAAATATCAACGTCTACTAAAAAATACAACGTCGTCACAATTTTTTACGGCGACAGATATTCTAAAAAACGACTCCACCTCGACTGTTGTATCGATGTGTTGTCTTATCTAATTGTAGTAATGTAATGCCTGTACAATAGCATTGTTTACGATATTTTGGTGCAATAAAGTATGCATACACTTACTTTGGATCACCAGAAAATTGAAAATTATCACAGTTTAGATATGACATCACGCTGGGTATATGGATTTTCGTTTGACCAGACTGAAATATATACAAAAACAATGCAGTTAATGCAATTAAAAATATTTTGTTTTTTTTATACTTACCACTTCTTTCAGTTTTTCATTATCTTGAAGTCGACAGAATTCCGTTTGCCCAGTTAACAATTTACTCAATGGATGTTTTTCTATCAATTCTAAAACTTTTTCATCAGTCAGTTCTAGAAATGCTGCCATATTATTTTCCGCATTAATTTCGCAAATGTTGACGCCATTGATTTTCGCCTTTGTTTCATTAACTGCTATTCGAAGAATATCATCCAATATTGCATTGTTGGGAAGTAGATAACATTTCCGATGAAATTGCCAACGTGCCGCAAAAAGCTTATATATTCTTCCATAGTCTTCGTATCGATATTGAATATGTTTACCGCATTGTGATATGCTAGCTTGAAGGAAGACATCATCGAAATCCATATCGGGACTGCAAATATCTTTTAAATGATAATGATCACGTTTCAAATAGTCCCATTTGTCGACATCAATTTTTTGGTGTTCATTGCTAACAATCTGAGAAATATTATTATGAAAAACCTGTCAATATTTTGTTATATAATTCTGATACTAACTTCAAATATAAACTGGTATTTTTCCGGCACTTCTATACTGAATGATGAAAGTTTATTGATTTTTCCTTGTATTAATGCCTTAATAAGACAAACACCATAATTATCGTTTTCCCTCAGTTCTGGAAAAAATGTTTTTTTTATGGTCGCAAATATTTTATCAACACAAGCAAACCCAATTTTTTCGTGTTCATAATTATGAGCTACATGTTCCCATGAATGTGAAAATGGTCCGTGGCCAACATCATGTAAAAGAGCAGCAAGCTGGAGAGGATAGAAAAAAAATTATAAAATAAATGAAAAATGTATACGTTTAAGAATGTTGTAAAAAAGCTGTAAGTTCGGACGGGCCAAACTTTGAATACCCTCCACAACTTGGAACGATGTCGGCAACTTTCAAAAAAAAAAAAAAATAAATAAAATCCGTTTAAAATTCTGTTAAATTCTTAAAAATACCGAATGTAGCCGTTATATTAGAGTCTATACGACGACGTGGATCTGCATAGGCAACTTTTGTCATAAGCCATTACAATATTCAAATGCGAAACTTGAAAAAAAATTCGGTGTATAATGTAGCTAAAATCATCAAAATACCGAATATAGGGTGGTACCGTGGCTATACTAAAATGTGGACCTTCACAGACAACTTTTGGGAGGTGCCGTTACATGGAAGCCATACCACAACGTGGACCTGCACAGACAATTTTCTGTCATAGGCTGTAGTATCCATTGCGAACTTCAAATACCAAATTTGAATCAATGCCGGAGAATAATGTCGATAAAATCATCAAAATACCGAATTTTTGGAGGTGCCGTTACATGGAAGCCATACCACAACGTGGACCTGCACAGACAATTTTCTGTCATAGGTTGTAGTATCCATTGCGAACTTCAAATTCCAAATTTTAAACAATTCCGGTGAGCAATTTCACTAAAATCACAAAATACCGAATATCGGGAAGTGCCGTTACATGGGGTCTATACGAAGACGTGTATCTACGCAGACAATTTTCTCTCATAGGCTGTAGCAATCACTACGAACTTCAAATACCAAATTTGAAACGATTCCGGTGAACAATTTCGCTAAAATCATCAAAATACCGAATATCGGGAGGTACCGTTACATGGGGGCTATACGAAGACGTGTACCTATGCAGACTATTTTCTGTCATAGGCTTTAGTAACCACTACGAACTTCAAATACCAAATTTGAAACAATTCCGGTTAATAATGTGGCTAAAATCATCAAAATACTGGCGTTAAGACGGAAAATATCGGTCAACACTTCTGGTACCTCCTCCACAAAAGGTCGAAATTTTGAATATCCATTAGGGTCATAAAACGCGAAATTAACATCAGATTCCTAATAAAATGATTGAAATGTGTGATATTTGAAGACTATCGGACTCTTAAATCACATTTTATAAGAATTGCAATTATTATTTGTGGGGGAGGTACTTGATAGAGTGGACCGATATTGTATATTTTCGCACCTGACCTAGCACAGACGCAAATACTAGGATTCGCAAAGTTGGAGCAAAATCAGATTATCCTTTCTCTTTCTGTACAATAAATTATTTTCTTTGAAAATGTTGACATTTTGTGAGTGAGGTACCAGAAGGAGTGGACCGATATTGCCCATTTCCGAACTCGATCTAAATATCACAATAATATTACGATGTTCCAAGTTTGTATCAAATCGGATAATCCCTTCGAGCGAACATCGCTAGATCGCCTCCTAATGTCCTAGGATCTAAAACCGTTAATTCGGTAAGGCACGTTTTGGCCGTATCAAATGATATATACCCTCTGTGGCCATATGGCTGAGGATACAATGAGAATTCGATGTCCAAAGCAAGAATTTTATGGACTCATTATTTGCAGATTACACTCATGAAGTTATGTAGTAAGTAATCGTTTAAAACACATAATGTTTGTAACAACCCATTAACGTAATTTCAAGGATCAGACGAGGACAGTTGTCATCATACGTGAAAAACATAAAACAGTAAGATTAATCTAAGAGTATCCTGATCGATTGCCTCTTATAATTTCAGAAAGCAATGGACCAAGAGTAACCGATTGGTCATAAAACAACAAATAAATCTCAACACTATTCTATTGAGGCCACTTTTCGAATGCATTAACTTACCAGTACAGCCTTACGATAAACCAAAGGAATTTTATTGTTATTTCCCAATAACCAGGGTGTGTTTCTCTCCAAGGCATCCAACATCAACTTAGCGGCATGAAAGGTACTGTATAAGGAGACAGAAGCTAATTTAAACAATACCAATTTATTACAAAGTCTATACATACCCAATGCAGTGATTAAAGCGATTGTGCGTGTGTTCCAGACCATTGTTAAACTTAAGATGTCCAAGCTGCTTCAACTTTTTTAAGCGTTGAAACTGTGGTGTTTGTACAATTTCTTGTTCTTCTTCAGATAGATATATTTCACCATATACGACATCATCATATTTATACTGAAAATGGAGAGAAGAAAACGATTTTTAAATGATTTTTGATTTTCTTCGAAGATCTGGGCGTAATTTTTGCCTCCAATATTTTTAAACAAAGAAACAGAAAATCAACAGCAAATTTATGGTTTTATTATTTCTCAGTATTTACAGGGCGAGATGAAAAAACTGCTGTCATTTCTAGGCCACTCGTCCGACAGCTGTTAAAATTATTCCAGTGACAGTTCATTATATTGTTTACAAGCGTACAAAGGCATTTTGGTGAGAATTTTAAAGAAAAAAAAATTATTCGTGATGGAATTCAAGTGTGATAGTGTGATTTCTTTATATTTGGCTGAAAAACCGCAAGTGCCTATCGTTAGAGCACTCCAGCATTTAATCTGAATAAATCTCTTGTGTCTCGTACCATCGCTCGTTAACGTGATACTGCTGGCGTAGCCCGACGTCAAGGAAGTGGACGGAAGAAAACAGCAACATCAGCAGAAATGTTTCGAAAAGTAAAGAAGCGATTTGATCGAAACTCGCGTCGCAGCGGCCGAAAAATGGCTCATGAGCTGAACATATCGCAATATTCCATTCGGCAAATATTGAAAAATGAAATTCCAAAAAGTTCAAGAATTTACAACGCGACAGAAAGAGAATTGGCTCAAAAGAGCTAAAGAGTTACTCCGCTTGGCCGAAAGTGATGAACTGCCGAATTTGGTTTTCTCCGATGAGAAAACATTAGTTTTCTAGCAGTTTGTAGACCATCAAAATGATGGTGTTTACTTGCCAAAGAGATCAGCTGAAAATGTGCACCGTCGGTTGGCCACCAGAACTCAAGCGCTGGCCATGGTAATTGGGTGCCATAACAGCCATAACAGGCCGTGGCATCAGAATAAATGCCAAGTATTATCGCCAAAGAATGGGCCAAAATACCGCAGAGCAACATTCGGGCAGAGTGTGTGTGGTTTCATTGGACGTTTGAAGGTCATAATTCGTGTCAAAATTCGAACAAAACTAAACTTTTTCTAAAATTTGATGCTATTTCCGACATTTTTTGCTTTCATTCGATAAAATTAAAAAAAAAAATGTAAAAATTATGCCGTTTGAATTTGTTGCAGTTTTTTGGTGTCACCCTGTATTTAAACAATAATCAGCAAATTGATGGTTTTATTATTTCTCAGAATTTATATGTTCATTGGGTTTGTTTATTCCAAGACAATTGAAAACAATTGAGCTTCGTCCATAGATACAATTTACAAATGCTGAAGAAATGTAAGAGTAATGTGTTTGAAGTGTTTATTTTTGTTTTAAACAAGTATTACATTCCATATTTTCAAATACAGCACCTCTACAAATGTAGAATAATGTGTACAGAGATTTCTTGCTAAACAATAACAAAACCAACAATCTTCCATTTTTATTTGAAACCCTTACGAGGCCGATCGATTCGAGCTCTCTAAATATAAACAAGCGAATGCCTTTTAGGCAAACAAGTATGACTCATAGGCACTTAAATTAAATCAAAAGAAAGCAGAAATCAATCCCTTGTCAAGCATTTTACTAGATATTGACTGTACTTCAAAAAATATTTTGTCCATGATTTGTGTTTAATTTGCTTCGGGGGTGGGGGTGGGTTGGTATTCCAAGTAACCAGATAATACAAAATATTCATTGAAATAGACAAAGGAAATATTTGCCGTTCGTTCAAATATACTTTGTTCAATAAATTATATACTTTCACTCATATGGTCCACTTTTTTTCTGAAAATGTTGACATTTTCAACAAATTTGGACATTTTCGAAATGGATACTACAGCCTAAGACAGAAAATTGTCTGTGCAATACCACGTCTTCGTATAGTTCCCATATAACAGTACCTCCCTATATTCGTGATTTTGATGATTTTTGCGACATTATTCACAGGAATTGCTTCAAATTTCACATTTGGAGTTTGTAATAGATATTGTGACAGAAAATTGTTTATGCAGGTCTTCGAATAGGGCCCATATATCAGTACCTCCCTATATTCGGTATTTTGTCGATTTTAGGTACAATACTTACCGATATTGTTTGAGATGTCGTATTTGAAGTTCGTAATATGACAGAAAATTGTCTATGCAGGTCCAGGTCTTCGTATAGCTCTGATATAACGGTACCTCCCGATATTCGGTATATTGATGATTTTAGCTCCATTATTCACCGATTTTTTTTTTAAGTTTCGCATTTGAATATTGTAATGTCTTATGACAAAAGTTACCTATGCAAGTCCATGTCGTCGTATAGACGCTAATATAACAGCAACATTTGGTATTTTTAAGATTTTAACAGAATTTTTAACGGATATTAATTATTTTTTGAAAATTTCCAAATTCGTTCCAAATGGTGGAGGGAATTCAAAGTTTTTTATTTTTACTAGAGAAAAAAGAAAATCAAAAAAAAAAAAAAATCTTACATTCAACAGTCTGTTTTTGTACCCTACACCACATAGTGGTGTCTTTGTGCATTTGTTTGCAACATGGAGAAGGAAGCGAGATAGACCCATAGTTACTTTTGAGGATATTCATAGAATCACATTCTGAGTCGATTTATGCAAGTCAGTCCGTCTGTCCATGTACATTTGTGAACATAATGCAGGTCGTATTTATTATCCGATTGACATGAAATTTGCCAAACAATATTTGTTTGGCCCAAGGATGAGCCCTATTAAAATTGGTGAAAATCGGTTCAAATTTAAATATAGCACCCATACATACCGATTTCAGGTTTTTTTGTGCACCAAATGGCCAATATCAGTCCAAATGACCTGGCACACCCGGCCGCATTCAGTCTAGAAGCAAGTACATCAAATTTGGTGAAAATCGGTTCAAATATAGTTATAGCTCCCATACACATATATGTTTCATCCGATTTGGGGTTTTAAGTGCTTCCGATTTGGGGTTTTAAGTGCTTCTATGCACTCCAAAACAATGATATTTGGTAGCAGATATTTTATAGAGCTCGGAAATATATTTGCCAAATTTTATCGAGATTGGCTAAGACTTGGATATTGCTCCCATATATATACTCAATTCGATTTCAGGTATATTGTGTATATAATGGCTTATATCAGTCCAAATGGAATTTTGTGAAACTCGGCTCCGATAAATATTGCATAACAATGTTAATTGGTATTCAATATTAAAATGTTAAATTTTTTTCGCAAACTAAAACGAATACGTTTGGATATGACTGATCGAGTGAAATTTTATTTTTTTCTTACAAAAACAAGTAAAAAAACATTAAGTTCGACCAGGCCAAATATCTTAAGGTGCCGATATATTGGGGTGATATACAATATTGTGGACCTATACAGACAAATCTACGTCTGGGGGTAAAAGACTCACAATGAACTTTTTGTGTGGAATTTTAGAGAATTCCATTGAAAAATGTGGCTAAAATCATCAAAATACCGAATATCGGGGGTACCGTTATATGGAGGCTATACGATATCGTGAACCTATATAGACATTTCTCTTTCAGGGGGTAAAGTGCTCACAAAGAACTCCTTGTGTAGAATTTTAGACAACTCTGTTGAAAAATGTGGGTAAAATCACAAAAATACCGAATATCGGGGGGTACCTTTATATGGGGGCTATATGATATCATGGACCTATATAGGCAATTATCTTACAGGCGGTAAAATATCCACAAGGAACTACTTGTATGGAATTTCTGAGAATTCCATTGAAAAATGTGGTTAAAATCATCAAAATACCGAATATTGGGGGTACAATTATATGGAGGCTATACGATAACGTGGACCACTATAGACAATTATCTTGCAGGGGTAAAATGCCCACAAGAAACTACTTGGAATTTTAGACAATTCGTTGAAAATTGTGGGTAAAATCACAAAAATACCGAATGTCGGGGGTACCTTTATATGGGGGCTATACGATATCATGGACCTATATAGACAATACTCATTCAGGGGGTAAAGTGCTCACAAGGAACTCCTTGTGTAGTATTTCAGACAATTCCGTTGAAATATGTGGCTAAAATCATCAAAATACCGAATATCGAGGGTTACCGTTATATAGGAGCTATACGATATCGTGGACCGATATAGTCCATCTTCGAACTTGACCTGCCTGCAGACAAAAGAGAGATCTGCGCAAAATTTTAGCTTCCTACCTTAATTCGTTTCGACTGTAGCGTGATTACAACAGACGGACAGACGGGCGGACGGACAGACTGGGATAAATCGTCTTAGAATTTTATGCTGATCAAGAATATATATACTTTGTTGGGTCTAAAATTATTATTTCGATGAGTTACAAACTATGTATGGTGGAGGGTATAAAAAACAGTTAAAGCACGTTTACATACAAAATTTTCAAAAAAAATCCGCTAAAAATTCTTTTATAATCTTAGGGTCGACGACGTGGCCCTGCATAGAAAACTTATCAAAAGCCATTATAATATTTAAATGCGAAACTTGAATAAAATGCATAATGTCGCTAAAATCGTCAAAATAGCGAATATCGGGAGGTACCTTTGTATGAAGGCTATACGAAGACGTGGACCTGCACTGACAATTTTCTGTCTTAGGCTTAGGCTGTATCCTTTACGAACTTCAAATACCAAATTTGAAACAATTCCGGTGAGTAATGTCACTAAAACCAGTACTTGGACCTACATAGCCATTTTCAATACCAAAAGTTCGCAGACATAATGGCAATATAAAACTTGATTTGGCAATAGCGGTAGAGAAAAAATCTGACAATACTGTTACAGACGCTACGCTTTTTTGCATTTTTTGCATTGTATGGTGAACACACACATACAAAACACACAAATTGCCTTTGTTTCGTTTCTTGTTAGAATGGTTATATCTGTTATCTGGGTGGGTGTGGTTTGGCTTTCCAAGTAACCAGATAATACAAAATATTCATTGAAATAGACAAAGGAAATATTTGCAGTTCGTTCAAATACACTTTGTTCAATAAATTATATACTTTCACTCATATGTTCCACTTTTTTTCTGAAAATCTTGACATTTTCAACAAATTTGGATATTTTCAATTGTTTCAAATTTGGTATTTGAAATTCGAAATGGAAACTACAGCCTAAGACAGAAAATTGTCTGTGCAATACCACGTCTTCGTATAGTCCCCATATAACCGTACCTCCCTATATTCGTGATTTTGATGATTTTTGCGACGTTATTCACAGGAATTGCTTCAAATTTTACATTTGGAGTTTGTAATAGATATTGTGACAGAAAATTGTTTATGCAGGTCTTCGTATAGTTTCGCATTTTAATATTGTAATGTCTTATGACAAAAGTTACCTATGCAAGTCCATGTCGTCGTATAGACGCTAATATAACAGCAACATTTGGTATTTTTAAGATTTTAACAGAATTTTTAACGGATATTAATTATTGTTTGAAACTTTCCAAATTCGTTCCAAATGGTGGAGTGAATTCAAAGTTTTTTATTTTTATTAGAGAAAAAAGAAAATCAAAAAAAATCTTACATTCAACAGTCTGTTTTTGTTTGCAACATGGAGAAGGAAGCGAGATAGACCCATAGTTACTTTTGAGGATATTCATAGAATCACATTCTGAGTCGATTTATGCAAGTCAGTCCGTCTGTCCATGTACATTTATGAACATAATGCAGGTCGTATTTATTATCCGATTGACATGAAATTTGCCAAACAATATTTGTTTGGCCCAAGGATGAGCCCTATTAAAATTGGTGAAAATCGGTTCAAATTTAAATATAGCACCCATACATACCGATTTCAGGTTTTTTTGTGCACCAAATGGCCAATATCAGTCCAAATGATCTGGCACACCCGGCCGCATTCAGTCTAGAAGCAAGTACATCAAATTTGGTGAAAATCGGTTCAAATATAGTTATAGCTCCCATACACATATATGTTTCATCCGATTTGGGGTTTTAAGTGCTTCACATGCGTAATATGCACTCCAAAACAATGATATTTGGTAGCAGATATTTTATAGAGCTCGGAAATATATTTGCCAAATTTTATCGAGATTGGCTAAGACTTGGATATTGCTCCCATATATATACTCAATTCGATTTCAGGTATATTGTGTATATAATGGCTTATATCAGTCCAAATGGAATTTTGTGAAACTCGGCTCCGATATATATTGCATAACAATGTTAATTGTTATACAATATTAAAATGTTAAATTTTTTTCGCAAACTAAAACGAATACGTTTGGATATGACTGATCGAGTGAAATTTTATTTTTTTCTTACAAAAACAAGTAAAAAAACATTAAGTTCGACCAGGCCAAATATCTTAAGGTGCCGATATATTGGGGTGATATACAATATTGTGGACCTATACAGACAAATCTACGTCTGGGGGTAAAGTACTCACAATGAACTTTTTGTGTGGAATTTTAGAGAATTCCATTGAAAAATGTGGCTAAAATCATCAAAATACCGAATATCGGGGGTACCGTTATATGGAGGCTATACGATATCGTGAACCTATATAGACAATTCTCTTTCAGGGGGTAAAGTGCTCACAAAGAACTTGTGTAGAATTTTAGACAACTCTGTTGAAAAATGTGGGTAAAATCACAAAAATACCGAATATCGGGGGTACAATTATATGGTGGCTATACGATAACGTGGACCACTATAGAAAATTATCTTGCAGGGGTAAAATGCCCACAAGGAACTTCTTGGAATTTTAGACAATTCCGTTGAAAAATGTGGGTAAAATCACAAAAATACCGAATATCGGGGGTACCTTTATATGGGGGCTATACGATATCATGGACCTATATAGACAATACTCATTCAGGGGGTAAAGTGCTCACAAGGAACTCCTTGTGTAGTATTTCAGACAATTCCGTTGAAATATGTGGCTAAAATCATCAAAATACCGAATATCGAGGGTTACCGTTATATAGGAGCTATACGATATCGTGGACCGATATAGTCCATCTTCGAACTTGACCTGCCTGCAGACAAAAGAGAGATCTGCGCAAAATTTTAGCTTCCTACCTTAATTCGTTTCGACTGTAGCGTGATTACAACAGACGGACAGACGGGCGGACGGACAGATTGGGATAAATCGTCTTTGAATTTTATGCTGATCAAGAATATATATACTTTGTTGGGTCTAAAATTATTATTTCGATGAGTTACAAACTATGTATGGTGGAGGGTATAAAAAAAAGTTAAAGCACGTTTACATACAAAATTTCCAAAAAAAATCCGCTAAAAATATCCATTACGAACTTCAAATACCAAATTTGAAACAATTCCGGTGAGTAATGTCGCTAATATCATCAAAATACCGAATATCGGGAGGTACCGCTACATGAGGGCTATAACAGTATGTGGACCTACATGGCCATTTTCAATACCAAACGTTCGGCAGACATAATGCCGATATAAAACTTGGTTTGGCAATATCGGTAGAAAAAAACGTCTGATAACCCTGTTACAGACGCTGCACTTTTTTTGTATCTCACCATACACACACAAATACAAAACTCACAAATTGTCTTTGTTTCGTTTCTTAGAATGGTTATATCTGTTATATCTAGGGAAATTCCCTAGATGTTCCAGAACGTAGAAAAATCAACTAGTTTTGCGTTTTTTATTTTATTTATTATTATTATTATTTATTTATTATTTTTTTTTTTTTGATGTCATAAAGGTTAAATTTGATAGCGTAGAAAAAAATTTGTACATTCTGGCAGTTCACAAAATGATTATACTGGGGAAAATACACAAAACTTGAAAGGGAAATTGGAGTTTCACCAAATATGCATTTCTGTCGTCCCTAAATTTAAAATAATTCAAATTATCTTTAAATTTTATTCAAAAGAATACACACATATACAAACTGTGTCAGTTTTGACAGAATTAGGACACCAAAAGCGAAAAATGGTATTTATTTTCACTATCTGTAGCAGTAACAATTGATCTCAAATCGTTTTAAACAATTACTCAGACTAAAATATTATTTAGAAATTATTTAAGAAAAAAAAAAAACAGATGCAGTAAAACATTTGCCAAAAGCTAACGAATTTTCATTTTGGCGATTTTTAAAACTTGATTTGGCCATAGCGGTAGAGAAAAACAAAATCCGATAACCCTGTTACGAACGCTACGCAGTTTTTCATTTTTGTTTGTAAACAAAATATCAGCTGTATACTACCCCATTCACTTTCAACCACCCTCGCAAACAAAAATACAATAATAACAATATAACAAAATAGGAATATGTTATACAAGACAAAAATACAACATCAACCACCAAAATTGCCGTATTGTATTACTATACCGGTGGTTGTAAAGAAAACTTACCATTCCTTTTTCCATATCCTTAGATTATTCTTTCTTATTTTAAAACTCGCCCGTTAATTTTTTTCAACTTCACAAATCTTTGGAACACCAAACTTTTCACTTGAATGCAAATTTCCAACTAGCAGTTGCATCTATCATTGCACAATTTATATTTATTCGACATGTTGAGGGTTATTCCCTTTGTCTTAACGCAAATTCATTATCAGAATTAAATATAAACAAAATAGGCAAATCCAACACAACCATTTTTTGTTCTAATTGCTAGGGATCGCTAAAGACATTAAGTGACGCACATTCACTGTAAAATGATCACCCTTTGCATTAAGCAGAGTACACAGAGTCGTTTTTCGAGTGATCTTTTTGTGAAAATATAGCATTTTCAGATGAAATGAAACCTTTTGCAGCGGAAATGAAACCTTTTGCAGTGGAAATGAAAGCTTTTGCAGTGGAAATGAAACCCTTTGCAACCGAAATGAAACTTTTTGCAAATCAAACGAAACTTTAAGATTTATAGAAGGAAAAATAACAAAAAAATATTTTTAGTAGGTTTAAAACTAAATCAACTAATGTTATGTTTCCTCCTTCAAAACGTGTCGGTCCCGGCTAATTTGTAAATGGGTCGTGGTTCAGCAACCCTATGACACTTGAGGGCATAACAAGTAAACGAAAAACTGCAACAAAATGGACTAAACATGCTAAAACAATTTGAACCAATAACCAACATTTTCGGGGGTCTAGAATACTAGCCCCCTTCATCACCCACCCAACCTAATGTTCCTCAGAACCCCTTTTTTCAGCACTAACGACATACATTCCTTTGCCGCTACATATCCATCCTTATCCCTTTTCCCCTTCCTTCAAGACAAACTAACACATCATTTTCAATACTACTCTTACATTTATTACATATTAAAATGCTTAGACATACTAATTTAAATAATATTAATTTTCTATCATGAAATTTGTTTTCTTTTCAGATTTAACTACAAATATGTAATAATAAAAAAATCTTTAAAATTATGAAATTAAATTTACTGTATAATTATGCATTGCCTTTTTTTTAACACATTGAAAAATAATAAAAAAAATGAATTTGAAAATTTGCCTGGGTCTAACCTTAATTTTGTTATGTCCTACTCATGGTAGAAGAATATAGGTAGACGCGTCGACACAGCTGCTTGGACAATGAACTGTCAAACCAATTTTGGAATTGAAAATGTTGAATGAAAAATTATTTAAATTTGTAAAAATTGTTGAAAAACGCGAATTATAATAGCCTCCGAATGACGTATTATAAGGAAACATATAAAAATCTACTTATATTTGAAAAACTTTTAATTTTTTTTGACATATCAATGCTCCCAGGCGTTGATGCATCTACCTGTATTCTTCTGCCATGGTCCTACTTTAGAAATTCCTCACCAGTTAGATCTCCTCCTAGTAATTATTTCTAATGGACTAACTTGCCTTGTTTAAGAGTAGATCCCTACTGCAATTCATTTAGTTACAAAATATATTATTAAAATTAGAATAAGCAAACAAAAAAAATATATATAAAATCTTAAAAGTAACAGAAAGCTAACTAGGACACACAGACGCACAACAAAACATAAACTCGCCAATATCGAGCAACTCCTTAAAATATGCTATCACTTAGCTGTTTGTTTTTTTCTGGATCCACTCTTCCACAATTCTCAGTCGGTGGACGCCAAGTGGACTCTATCACCACTCTCAGCCGGTGGACGCCAAGTGGAACTTGGTGTGTATTTATAATTGGCTCTCTTCGAGTTCCACCTTATCCACACGGTGAGCCACGGATACAAAGGTGCGCACCAAAATCCGGCGTACCACGTATGAAAACGCTTTGTGGTTTCGTTATATTTGGCCAAAACAATTCGCTCTATTTAGAAAACACACCACATTAAAAAAACACAGACGGTCTAAATCAACCACATTTACATTCAGATATATTCCGCACAAGTTAAAACTAATTATTCAAACTTGTATTTTTTTTCCAAAAGTTGACTTTAAAATTGTTTCAAAATTTAAAACGGTTTTTAATGATTCCAAATCTTTATGCGTTAACCGTAATATACATATATGTATTTATTATTTTTTTTTTTCAAGTTGAAATGAGTTGCTGCTTTTTCTACGACCTCTGAGCAAATAATTTGTATCGCCTTATACCACAGCGTATAAACTTACGATCATTGGTTGTTTTTCTCAAGTTTTTTTTTTTTTTTTTTTTTTTTTTTTTTTTGAGAACATCATACTCTCTGGTGCCCTTAGAATTGTTCCCTATTACCAACAAAATGTTCATGCTTGAACAACGGTCCAAGTTCAATGGTCGCATGGCCTTGAAATGTTCATATTTTTTTGGCTCATTTTACGTGCGTAATTCTCTTACGTACGCTCTTACGCACGCTCTTCCATACTTCTACCCGACACATAACTCCAATACACAACCTTTCCAACACTGGCCTGTCAAAACGAACAAGTTCCACAAACAGCTGTTTTCATACCACCACTTGGTACTGGTGGTATCAGCAGCAATAAAATACGGACAAATATAAAAATAAAAAAATATCGCGGGCAGAAAAAAACCCCAACAAGCAAATATATTCTGCTCGCATTCTAAGGCGAAGTAAAAATATTGTGGGCAGAAAAAGAGAAACCCCAAACCAGCAATTTAATTTTGCTCGCGTTCAAAGCACCGGCTGAGCACACGTCTTCCCACCCTCATGAAAATTGCATCATGTGATGCGTACCAGGAGATACGGCTTGAAAACCAGGTGTTGCACACAATTTGGACTCCTGCCCTTCTACCATAAGCCTGAAAGGTATCCGTCACCTTCAGGTATTTAAAATATTCGGATTGGGCTAAGGTACCCAATTATGTTAGTCAGCATTACAGTCGACTCTGCCTAACTGAAACTCGTTGGCTAACTATATGATTTTATTTATGTTTCAGGCATGAACTGTACAGGCTATCGCATATATACTGTCTAGCTTGTCTGTTGCTTATGCCGAGAAAATCGGAATGTTGTCCCCCAATCTCCTACCCGTCCCTTTTCCTTAATTCCAGCTGTCGTTTACCATCTCACTGCTACCCTCAACAAAACTCTGGGGTTTCCAAGGAAACTGACGAAACCACAGTGTGAGGGTCATAAGGAATGTCCACCTATTGGTCATTATTTCCTTAAATTCCTTACAATATTTGTTTCCTAGTCCTTTTATATACTCTACACTACACTAAATTAAATTGCACTATCATTAGTTTATAACAATATTACAATTTCCTTAAATCAAACGATAGCCCAAAGGGCAAGAACGATATTCGCAAAGTTTCCTGAATTGTTTCATACACTAATGTATTACTGGACTTATTGTCATCTTTTAATTTGTTCCTACATTCGATTACCCCGGAGAGCTTCACCCATGAGGTTACAATTTTCTTAATGTTAAATTAACCTACATATTAAGAAACAAGGACCAAAACAATGCCCTTGTTTCATACTAATCATTAATGTTAAAACTATCTGCAGAATATTAGAGAAAAATAATCGCTAACAAGTACTTATGCAATCCATAAGCACAAGATAGCCATTACTTTTTCCGACTAGGAAACTTCATTGCAACTTCATTAATGGCCTTTCTGGTTCGATGCGCCCAACGTAGGCTACACCCACACTTTTATTTCTCCCTCACACTATACTGAACCTTGGAAAAGACTGTAAAGCTTTTAGCAGGAGTTAGCCGGGCATTAAAACAAAATACTTAAGAAGGGAACTTTATCTTACGACTAAACGGATTTATCCTAATAAAATATCACAGTTGTTCTTGAGTATAAATATGTATATGCTATCACAGAGGGAACATTAAACACTGTACATTTAGAAAAATAATAATTTTAAATAAATAATTAAAGACCGAAACACAACTTACTTTAATATTGCAAGTAAAGAAATATTGCCATTAGAGTAATCTTCTGTTTATTTGTCTTTCATTATTTATTGCTTAATGTCTTTAGCGTGATAGACGCCAAGAGGATCCCCTTTTAATGATTCCAGCCGATACATATTATTCCCTAGAACTTCTGCGACTCGACATTTGGTAAATTTTCTACAGAATATGGCATTTCTGTTATCCTGAAACTTGCTCAAGACAAAATTTCTTTTAAATACCTCCTGACCCGGACGAAACCGTACTATTCTGGCCTTTCTATTATACCGTAGTGCACTTCTTTCATACGCATTGTGTAAATTTGGTTTAATAATGTCCATAATTATACTAACTCTATCGTCTTTATCCAGAATTAGTAACTCCCCATCGCTTAGAGCTTTTAATTTTCTTGCAAGTTTGTAATCTCTGCCACAGGTGAACATGTTATGCCCAAAAAGAGCAAAAAATGGCCAATTCGATTTTAGCAAGGTTTAAGTCCCAATTGGTGTGGTCATTATCTAAGTAAGAGCGTATAGCAATTAACACGCTTTGGTTTACTCTTTCCGCCGCATTTGATTGAGGCGAGTAAAATGCTGTTTTCAAATGGGCTATTTTATATTCCTCCATTAGTTTTTCAAAATCCTTGGATACAAATTGTTTACCATTGTCTGTATGTATGACCTCCGGCACACCAAACTGTTGAAACACATTTTCAATTAAAAAGGAGATTACATTCTTGCTGGTAGCTTCTTTCATCGGTTTTAGAAAAACAAATTTTGTTAGATGGTCAACCACCACTAAGATATATGCGTTTCCTTTACGGGACCGAGGATACTTTCCCAAAAAGTCCACGTACAGCTTCTGGAACGGTCGGTCAGTCTGAACTTCATTTCCTATTTGGGGCATCATATGTTGATTCGAACTTTTGCATTCCCGACAAATATTGCAGTTCTTTACAAAATTCCGGACGTGTATTGCTATGTTAGGCCAGTAGTATTTTAGTCGTAGGTGACCTAATGTCTTCTTTATACCCCCATGGGATTTATCCTCAGGTTCATGAGCCATTTTAATAAGAGTGGTTGTTAAATTTTCTGGTACCCAGAGTTTAAACTCACATTCTTCCAATTCCATATCAGCTAGTGGAGCTGTATGCTTAAAAACAAATCCATGTTCTACTTTTATATCTGGAAATGTTTCTTTATTTTCGAGGATAGTTTTGATCATTTCTAAATAAGTTTCTGACTCAAACTCCACAGTATCGAATCCTACCACGTCTTCAGGCAT